ATATATGAATACAACAAACATTTTGATATGACTTTCATCCCGGTCAAAAGGGGATAAGTCACATCTTATCAAAAAAGATACATGTCTCTCTTTAAAATATAATTATTCCATACACATGCATATATCGGATAACGGGGCCTTTTTTTAGGTACCCATCCCCTATTGACCAGGACCATCATCTGTTGTCTGATAGATATGAATACAACAAACATTTTGATATGACTTTTATCCCGGTCAAAAGGGGATAAGTCACATATCATCAATAAAGATACATGTCTCTCTTTAAAATATAATTATTCCATAACATGCATATATCGGATTATATGGGCCTGTTTTAGGTACCCATCCCCTATTGACCGGGACCAGCCTCTGTTGTCTAATTGATGTGCATATAGCAAACGATTTGAAATGAATTATAATAGGGAATTAATAGGGAATAACTTACATATCTTTTAATTTAAATCAACATTGTTTATTCTGTCTTTAAATACTTTGTTAAATTGTACACTTGGTTTTTCACTAATATATTTATATTTTTTTAAACTGAAGCACCCTCTAAACCAAAACGTTTTTTTTAGGTTTTAGGTTTTAAAAAATATCCGGGGGGGGGGGCTCTGCCTCCTGAACACCTCTGTACCCCACCCGTAAACTGCACCCTGATTGTACGTAACTATACTTACCACGTCGCTCAATATGCGCGCCAAAATAAACATGAAAAAACATATTATGCAGTAGATTCAATATTTTAACCTGATAAATAGCTTCAGAGTTCTGATAATTCATTGTCATGTACGCAAAAGATTAACCAATTCACAGTCATACTTATTAAACTGCCAAATTGAGAGTGCTAAAACAATGGGTTGACCCTATCCATTTAAAAAAAAACACATTGAAAACATTGTTCATTGAGAACATAATTATAGAATACACAGTATACATTGAACTTTAAACACACTATTAAAAAGAGAAGCAAAGAGAAGAGTAAGAAATGAAAGATATAGATAATGAACATGACATGGGAAATTGCAAAAGAACCCAGTAAAGGTTCTGTCGAGGCAATCCCCAGCCTAATAAAATACCTACATTTTTACTGATAAAGAACTAAAAATTCATAGTGACATTATGGCAAAGAAGAGTTTAAAAGGTATAACAGTTATAACAGTTGGGATGGATTAATTATTTTGTAGAGTTTGTGAATAAAAAAAGTTAAGTTTTGATCTAAAAGAATTAAGAAACGAAATTGTTTGAACATAATGAGGAAGAGAGTTCCATTTTGACGGTCCTTTTGATTTGAAAGAAAAAGATGATATTTTTATATTTTTCGACATAGTAATTTTCTGGATTTCTGGTATAATAAGTATGCATTTCTGTTTTACATTTAATAATAGAGGCAAGATTATATGGTAATTTGTTATGTTTATGTTTAAAGACCATTAATGAGATACAGTAGTCATACAATTGATATATTGTGAGAAGATTAAGTTTTTTGAATAGTGGTTGTAAAGGAGCAGTATAGTGAGACATTGAACATATTCTTACAATTATTTTTTTGCAATTTCAATAATCTAGGAGCCTGCTGGGATATGTATTGGCCCATACAACTATATTTTGTTTAGATATAGTAGATATATGTTCGACCCATGATAAATGTTCATCGATAACAACTCCTAAGAAATTTGTAGATTGGACACGTTTCATAAATACATTATTCATACTAATATTAAGATTGGTAAATAAATTTTCTGTAATTGTATTTTTGCTTATGATGAAAGTATACAAAGCTAGATTTGGAAGTGTTAAGAGATAACTTATAACAATTAAACCACTGTGAAACATGGCATAACTCCGCATTAAGAAATTGACATAAATCATAGATTTTTTCAAAGATATTTGTGTAATCAGCAAAAAGAATGAATTTTACACTAGGAAAGGATCTGATATGTCGGAAATCAATGTACCACAGGGGAAAAACATAATTGTCAGCGAAATATAAAAGCCACCAAACTCAAATTATGCTGATTGTATTGATGCATTACAATCTATGTTAACATCACCGCCCTTTAATGATAAACATTATATGATGATGGCGATTTTAATCTTAACCTATTTATTTATAATGACAAACTATATGTCGAGATTTCTTGGATATCATGACTTCAAAACCACTTTCCCAAGTACATGTATAACTAAACCAACACAAATTTCTGATAATGCATCGACACTTTAATATTGATAACGTGTTCTCTAATATTTCCAATTGTATGGATCGAGGCATTATAGTTTCCGACATATCATATCCTTTCCTAGTGTTTACATGGGGGGGGGGGGCACTCGTTTTTCCTAAAGTTCATTTTTCCGAAGGTTCGTTTTTCCGAAGGTTCATATTTCCGAATCATAAATGTCCCATGCCTGGGGGTTCATAATTCCCGAAATGAAAAAGGGTTCGTAATTCCGAACATTTTGTTGCATTATTTCGAAGGTTCGACCTGACTGCTAAGAAAGCATTAATGCTTGTAAGTAAGCAACCAGACGGCCGACGGCTTTAGGTCCTCTCCGAGGGACATGGTAATGAGGATTAATGCCTTACCAAAGGGCACTAGCGCATCACCTTGGTTTCGAATCCGGATTACGAGACCACTGTCCTACTGAATGAGCTATCGCGCCTCCTTCTATATTTCGAAGGTTCTTTATTCCGAAGGTTCTTTATTCCGAAGGTTCATTTATCCGAAGGTTCATATTTCCGAAAATGAAAAAGGGTTCATAATTCCGAAAATTAAATCGGGTTCATAATTCCGAAAGTGAAAAAGGGTTCCTAATTCCGAAAATGAAATAGGGTTCGTATTTCCGAAAATGGAAAATGGTTCATAATTCCGAAAATGAAATAAGGTTCGTAATTCTGAAAATGAATAGGATTCGTAATCCCGAAAATGGAAAAGGGTACCTGAACAAGAAGCCGAGACAGCCCCTCTCCCCATAAGAGATCCACAAGGACTGGAGAGAGAGAGAGGAAGAGAGAGAGAGAGAGAGAGCTAGAGAGACAGATCAGAGGAAGACAGAGACAAAGACAGGGAGAAACATTAGAAGAAAACAAAAGACAATAGGACAATATAAAGGACAAATGAAAAAGAAAAGGAAAGAAAGGAAGGAAGGAAGAGAGGTAAATTAGAAAGAGGGGATAAGATTGAAAACGGTGATAGAGAGTGAAAGATAGAAGAGGGGGGTATCATGATTGATTTATAAGGTGATAAGTTGAGGTCATCTTACCGATCTCGTTTTATTTTCTGATTTATTTATTCATTTGTTCATTTGTTTGCTTGTTGCTTTTTATTTGGTATTTGTCATTGGCTCCCCCTCCGCCCTTTTTTCTTTCCCTTTCTCTCCTCTTTCCCTTTCCCTTCCTTCAATTTCTTTCTCTCTCTCTCTCCTCTCTCGCTCCCTCTATATATATAAAACAATGCCTAATTGGTGACCATTGGTCCCTCATGATCCTCTCTTTCTTATGTTAATTGAGAGCTGAGTTGATGAGATAGCCACCTGTCCAGGTCCTTGCAGGGTAATCAATCCCTCTTATAAACTAGTACAGATAAGCTTTAAAGGAAAATGTGCATTTGTTGAAAGAAAATGGGCACCGATCAGATTTTAAAGGGGCATTTATCGGAGGTGAAGGGGGCACTTATCTGAAGTGAAAAGGAGTAACTTCTCTTACCTGAAAAGAGTCATTTACCAGAGATGAAAAGGGGCATTTATGAGAAGGGGAAGGGCTCCTTTTTAATGGGGGCACTTTTCATTGGGAAACTGGTCGCTTATTAGAAAGTAATATGGAATCAGAAGTATGGATGGGTACAACTATAAGGTGACACCAATGTGAACATCAGAGACATAGTAATGCATTTGGATTACTTTTCACTGGTTTCTCACAAATAATACATTGATACTTTATCGGCATCGTTATTCTATAGCATAAGTCTCTTACGTGATCGCATTTTCAATTCTTCCTATCCAAGGCGTTCGATGTCGCTCATGCCTCCGATCAGGATTATTCACTTTTCCTCACCATTTTCAGTCTGTGCAAATATTCGCCCGTCACGAGACCATGTCCACGAGATCGCTTCACACTTACAAGCTAGTATATCAATGATTGGCGACCCATCTTAGGTCTTCGTTGATGAAGATTTTACTCCCTTTTGACGCTATCGAAAGCATTTTTTATTGAAATCAATGTACCACAGGGGAAAAACATAACTGTCGGCGAAATCTAAAAGCCCACCAAACTCAAATCATACTGAGTTTATTGATACATTACAATCCATATTAACATAACCGTCCTTCAATGAAAAACATACATGATAATGGGCGATTATGATTTCAACCTATTCAATCATATGGAAAAACCATACAGTCGAGATTTCTTGGATATCTTGACTTCAAAATCACTTTTCCCAAGTATAACAAAAGTATAACAAAACCAACTTAAACTTCTGATAATGCATCAACACTTGTTGATAATGTGTTCTCCAATATTTCCTATAGGAACGAGGCATTATAGTTTCTTACATATCAGATCACTTCCCAGTGTTTACAAAGTCATGTACCCCATATTTCTAACATAGTCAAGCCTGATATTCAGAATAACATATTGGGTTCACGTGATATGTCAGAAGATAATTTAGCTATAGACTCAAAGCAAGTCTGATAATCACTGACCGGTCTGTAATTCTTGACAATAATGATGCTAATGATGGTTGTAACAAGCTAGTTTATATAATTATGACTTTATGTGATATCTATATTCCATTGAAATCACCTTCCAAGTCGAGTTATAAAAAAGTACCTGAATCCTCCTGAATCACTAAGTCTATACTTAGATCGATTAACCGGAAAAATAGTATTTTACAAATATAAATAAACAAAAACACATGAATCTAAACTAAAAAATACTTCCAATTGTAATACCTTGACATCTGTAATACATAGGGCAAAAAAGAATTATTACTCTACCCAATTCACCACACATAAAAAGACATAAATTCAACCTGGAACATTATCAATAATGTTCTCAGAAAAGGTGAAAAGAAACAATTCGAATTAAGTAAGATCGTCTACAACGGAACCGAAATAAAAGACCCTCTCGGCAAAGCAGAGGCATTCAACTTTTCGGTGTGAATTTAGGGCCAGGCCTTGCCAGTAACATCCTTGCTACAAATAACTGTTTCCACTCGTTCCTAAGAAATTCAAATCCTCAATCATTATTTGTTGTACCTGTACATGAAACAGAGATTATTGATATCGTGAATAACTTAAATGTAAACAAAGGTTCTGGTTATGTTATTTCAAATTATCTCCTCAAAACTAATATCCATGAAATAGTCTCTCCGTTGACATTTGTATTTGATATGTCTTTAGTAGATGGCATAGTACGAAGCAAAATGAACATTGCTAAGGTAATACCAGTCTTGGACATGTCACTCGGGGGACTTGAAACTCTCTCACTGATGAGGGGTTGCCACCCCCACCCCATCGACGCCTCTGGCCCTAAGTAAGTCCAGTCAGACAATCAGAGCACGATACGCCTTCGGCGCTAAAGTGGGATAAGAGGGAGGTAAAGGAAAGTAGGATATCAAAATAATCATTGAAAATAATTAGGATGATGATGGGAATGTAATGAACGAACATGACAATGCAGGCGAGGAAGATAAAAGGCTGCACGGTACCGTGTTTGGGCTACCATTTGGCAAAGCGAATAAAATCCGAGCGATTCTGTCAACAAACACCTTCTATAATATTGAATAGTCAAATAGCTGAAGCTGGTCACGAAAACAACCAAGATGCCCATTGAAGTAAGGTTCCTGTGTTAATTAGGAAAAAGGAGTTTTGTTTTGATATCAAGCTCTAGTATAAACGAACCATTCTTTCTTTTATCACGAACTATGTTTCAAATATGCCCCATCCTCCCAGAACAATGCAATTCATCAGTGTTTTCTTTAGTCTTAAATTATTGTCCCGTAATATTGTGCATAAACAGATTAAGTGTGAGTGATATTTCAATCCCAGTACAAGGCTTTAACGATGGATTTACCTGACCTGTATACCAATAAAGTCCTTTATCAGGTAAGTATAGCCACACATCTATTTTTTTAGAGCACTGGGCTTATACAAACTGCTGTCGAAAGATTAGTTTTATTTTTTTTTGGCTCACGCTTTTGACTTCCGGACTATCATGCAAGTATCAACGATTTTAAGATCATAAATTGTTTTTGCTCTGTTAAATGATAATCATTTCATGTCACGGTTACATTGCAGTCGGAATTATTACCTATCTCCAAGTGACGTAGAATGGTCGTTTTTGTAATTTTTTAGAAACATAATTTTCTTAAATCTAAAATGATTGTTATCTAGATGATAATTGATAACAATATTTTACAATGTACGGTGCCGAATCAAACCTGCTGCTACATCGCAACTTACCGCTTGACTTAGATTCGCAAGGAGAGGCCCGGAGGTAGGATACAAAGAACGAATACGATGAAATTTGTCACGGAACAGTACGTATAGGATGCATTCGTAAAGAATATCTTATTAAATTCGGGAACATGTCCCATCAAAAACATATCATACCTCACTCCATTCATCGCGTTCATTATTGCCGTCATGATGTAACATCGTCCAGCAGGTACACAAGATACCCTATTGTTTCCCCTCTTGCTGGCAATGGAGATGCTGTCTCCATTACGTCACCAGTCAGCCCATCATAGCAATACCAACGACCTGCCTCTTTGAAGATGCATGTGAAGTGGTCTGCTTTGTGAATCGTCATACCCTGTAACGTGTACCTGTAATTTATGTTTATAATTTCAGAAAAGGAATGAAGTAACAGAGAAAATAAATGGTCAATACATCCTTAACGCAGAGGTCTAATACAGCGCGGTTTACATTATGAGTCTTGAAATCTGCTTTAAATTTACATGTAATGTGATAGACGGTAGAAAAAGCATGTAATCACATGTTCATTGAATATCACAACAATAGTTCATACTGTACTCTAAAATAAACATGTAATCAATATTCCTTCTTCATGGACATTTAGCTGAATACATTAACAATTGCTAACAAATGCTAAGTAGGCTATTATACCAAGCTGAAAATCATAACTTCCTCCAACCTATTTGTGGGTATGATTTTGAGCTTGCTATAATCAGCCAATATTGGTGCTAAAATAACTTATGTTTTGAGGGACAACAATCATGTTTTAGTCTCGAAATGGCTAGTGGCATAATTTTTATGTGCTGTTGTAAAATACAAAATATAGCAAATGACTTCTATAATCCATTGTTTTAACGACAATACCTTGCGGTTCCTAATGAAACGTTGTGCTGAAACATAAGGCTGCACCCTTCGTTCTGGATTGATAGATGATAGGACTAAAGCACAGGATTGGTGGACATATGAAGTGGTCGAATTGTCGCTCTTCCCACTTTCTCTCACCCGAACAGCGCCTGTAAATTGATATCATCATTAATATTTGATATTAAGACATGATCATACATTTTCGTTCTCACAAAATAAAACAAAATATTCCAATGTCCTTGTCATTCAAATGGAATACAGTTTCAACATACAATATATTAGACTGGTGGAAATTATTGAATGATCGTTCTTAAAATATTACAACTAACTCAAATCACTATTTTACCTTCAAAGGTATTTTCACACAGGAAATTTTGCTAATCGTTTTGAAATTTCCGTTAGTGTACATGCAGAGCAGAATGTGTAGGCTGTAATTTTTAGATAATATCAAATATGTGCTTAAAAATTGACATAGGCCTACTTGCAGCCTGTATATTTGACGGGGATAAGATCATATCAAAATGTTTGTTGCATTCATATCTATCAGACAACAGATGATGGTCCCGGTCAATAGGGGATGGGTATCTAAAAAAGGCCCATATATCCGATATATGCATGTGTATGGAATTATGATGTGCTACAGATACCTGTATCTTAATTGGATAAGATATGTGACTTATCCCCTTTTGACCGGGATAAAAGTCATATCAAAATGTTTGTTGCATTCATATCTATCAGACAACAGATGATGGTCCCGGTCAATAGGGGATGGGTACCTAAAAAAAGGCCCATATATCCGATATATGCATGTGTATAGAATTATGATGTGCTACAGATACCTGTATCTTAATTGAATAAGATATGTGACTTATCCCCTTTTGACCGGGATAAAAGTTATATAAAAATGTTTGTTGTATTCATATCTATCAGAAAACTAATGATGGTCCCGGTCAATAGGGGATGGGTACCTAAAAAAGGCCCATATATCCGATATATGCATGTGTATGGAATATTTAAAGAGAGTCATGTATCTTTTTTGATAAGATATGTGACTTATCCCCTTTTGACCGGGATAAAAGTCATATCAAAATGTTTGTTGCATTCATATCTATCAGACAACAGATGATGGACCCGGTCAATAGGGGATGGGTATCTAAAAAAGGCCCATATATCCGATATATGCATGTGTATGGAATTATGATGTGCTACAGATACCTGTATCTTAATTGGATAAGATATGTGACTTATCCCCTTTTGACGGGGATAAGATCATATCAAAATGTTTGTTGCATTCATATCTATCAGACAACAGATGATGGTCCCGGTCAATAGGGGATGGGTATCTAAAAAAGGCCCATATATCCGATATATGCATATGTATGGAATTATGATGTGCTACAGATACCTGTATCTTAATTGAAAAGGATATGTGACTTATCCCCTTTTGACCGGGATAAAAGTAATATAAAAATGTTTGTTGTATTCATATCTATCAGACAACAGATGATGGTCCCGGTCAATAGGGGATGGGTATCTAAAAAAGGCCCATATATCCGATATATGCATGTGACTGTATGAAATTATGATGTGCTACAGATACCTGTATCTTAATTGGATAAAATATGTGACTTATCCCCTTTTGACCGGGATAAGATCATATCAAAATGTTTGTTGCATTCATATCTATCAGACAACAGATGATGGTCCCGGTCAATAGGGGATGGGTATCTAAAAAAGGCCCATATATCCGATATATGCATGTGTATAGAATTATGATGTGCTACAGATACCTGTATCTTAATTGAAAAAGATATGTAACTTATCCCCTTTTGACCGGGATAAAAGTTATATAACAATGTTTGTTGTATTCATATCTATCAGAAAACAAATGATGGTCCATGTCAATAGGGGATGGGTACCTAAAAAAGGCCCATATATCCGATATATGCATGTGTATGGAATATTTAAAGAGAGTCATGTATCTTTTTTTGATAATATATGTGATTTATCCCCTTTTGACCGGGATAAAAGTCATATCAAAATGTTTGTTGCATTCATATCTATCAGACAACAGATGATGGTCCCGGTCAATAGGGGATGGGTATCTAAAAAAAGGCCCATATATCCGATATATGCATGTGACTGTATGGAATTATGATGTGCTACAGATACCTGTATCTTAATTGGATAAGATATGTAACTTATCCCCTTTTGACCGGGATAAGATCATATCAAAATGTTTGTTGCATTCATATCTATCAGACAACAGATGGTGGTCCCGGTCAATAGGGGATGGGTATCTAAAAAAGGCCCATATATCCGATATATGCATATGTATGGAATTATGATGTGCTACAGATACCTGTATCTTAATTGAAAAGGATATGTGACTTATCCCCTTTTGACCGGGATAAAAGTAATATAAAAATGTTTGTTGTATTCGTATCTATCAAAAAACAAATGATGGTCCCGGTCAATAGGGGATGGGTATCTAAAAAAGGCCCATATATCCGATATATGCATCTGTATGGAATAATTATATTTTAAAAGAGAGACATGTATCTTTTTAGATAAGATATGTGACTTATCCCCTTTTGACCGGGATAAAAGTCATATCAAAATGTTTGTTGCATTCATATCTATCAGACAACAGATGATGGTCCCGGTCAATAGGGGATGGGTATCTAAAAAAAGCCCATATATCCGATATATGCATATGTATGGAATTATGATGTGCTACAGATACCTGTATCTTAATTGAAAAGGATATGTGACTTATCCCCTTTTGACCGGGATAAAAGTTATATAAAAATGTTTGTTGTATTCATATCTATCAGAAAACTAATGATGGTCCCGGTCAATAGGGGATGGGTACCTAAAAAAGGCCCATATATCCGATATATGCATGTGTATGGAATATTTAAAGAGAGTCATGTATCTTTTTTGATAAGATATGTGACTTATCCCCTTTTGACCGGGATAAAAGTCATATCAAAATGTTTGTTGCATTCATATCTATCAGACAACAGATGATGGTCCCGGTCAATAGGGGATGGGTATCTAAAAAAAGGCCCATATATCCGATATATGCATGTGTATAGAATTATGATGTGCTACAGATACCTGTATCTTAATTGAATAAGATATGTGACTTATCCCCTTTTGACCGGGATAAAAGTTATATAAAAATGTTTGTTGTATTCATATCTATCAGAAAACTAATGATGGTCCCGGTCAATAGGGGATGGGTACCTAAAAAAGGCCCATATATCCGATATATGCATGTGTATGGAATATTTAAAGAGAGTCATGTATCTTTTTTGATAAGATATGTGACTTATCCCCTTTTGACCGGGATAAAAGTCATATCAAAATGTTTGTTGCATTCATATCTATCAGACAACAGATGATGGTCCCGGTCAATAGGGGATGGGTATCTAAAAAAAGGCCCATATATCCGATATATGCATGTGTATGGAATTATGATGTGCTACAGATACCTGTATCTTAATTGGATAAGATATGTGACTTATCCCCTTTTGACGGGGATAAGATCATATCAAAATGTTTGTTGCATTCATATCTATCAGACAACAGATGATGGTCCCGGTCAATAGGGGATGGGTATCTAAAAAAGGCCCATATATCCGATATATGCATATGTATGGAATTATGATGTGCTACAGATACCTGTATCTTAATTGAATAAGATATGTGACTTAACCCCTTTTGACCGGGATAAAAGTCATATAAAAATGTTTGTTGTATTCATATCTATCAGAAAACAAATGATGGTCCCGGTCAATAGGGGATGGGTATCTAAAAAAAGGCCCATATATCCGATATATGCATGTGTATGGAATTATGATGTGCTACAGATACCTGTATCTTAATTGGATAAGATATGTGACTTATCCCCTTTTGACCGGGATAAAAGTCATATCAAAATGTTTGTTGCATTGATATCTATCAGACAGCAGATGATGGTCCCGGTCAATAGGGGATGGGTATCTAAAAAAGGCCCATATATCCGATATATGCATCTGTATGGAATAATTATATTTTAAAAGAGAGACATGTACCTTTATAAATAAGATATGTGACTTATCCCCTTTTGACCGGGATGAAAGTCATATCAAAATGTTTGTTGCATTCATATCTATCAGATAACAGATGATGGTCCCGGTCAATAGGGGATGGGTATCTAAAAAAGGCCCATATATCCGATATATGCATGTGTATGGAATTATGATGTGCTACAGATACCTGTATCTTAATTGAATAAGATATGTGACTTATCCCCTTTTGACCGGGATAAAAGTTATATAAAAATGTTTGTTGTATTCATATCTATCAGAAAACTAATGATGGTCCCGGTCAATAGGGGATGGGTACCTAAAAAAGGCCCATATATCCGATATATGCATGTGTATGGAATATTTAAAGAGAGTCATGTATCTTTTTTGATAAGATATGTGACTTATCCCCTTTTGACCGGGATAAAAGTCATATCAAAATGTTTGTTGCATTCATATCTATCAGACAACAGATGATGGTCCCGGTCAATAGGGGATGGGTATCTAAAAAAAGGCCCATATATCCGATATATGCATGTGTATGGAATTATGATGTGCTACAGATACCTGTATCTTAATTGGATAAGATATGTGACTTATCCCCTTTTGACGGGGATAAGATCATATCAAAATGTTTGTTGCATTCATATCTATCAGACAACAGATGATAGTCCCGGTCAATAGGGGATGGGTATCTAAAAAAGGCCCATATATCCGATATATGCATATGTATGGAATTATGATGTGCTACAGATACCTGTATCTTAATTGAATAAGATATGTGACTTAACCCCTTTTGACCGGGATAAAAGTCATATAAAAATGTTTGTTGTATTCATATCTATCAGAAAACAAATGATGGTCCCGGTCAATAGGGGATGGGTATCTAAAAAAAGGCCCATATATCCGATATATGCATGTGTATGGAATTATGATGTGCTACAGATACCTGTATCTTAATTG